TTTCATCTTCATTTCTCTGTGAGGTTCTGTGTTGATCATCTTTTGGTGGGGTGCCCATTTGATGCCAGTCCTTGACTATACTTCAAAAAATAGATGGCAGCACTATGGCACTTTGAATTCAGTTATGTCCTTCTTTTGTACGGGGATTGAAATGGAGACTGTTTAATGGATAATTATGTTGATTTTATTTTAACAAGGTATTTGGCAAATGTTAAAGAATGCTTCGTAAAATTATTTGCTCTGTCCTTATAAATTTGCATTGAAGTTTTGGAATACAATGATCTTCAAAGTAATTTTAAATAACACCAGGCTTCACCCCAAACAACTCCTTTTTTCAACCTACTCCTTACTGTAAATGCAATCATTTCATTTCATGCGAGACTCATACCTAAATTCCTGCATGCTTAATGTGTACAATCTTTGTTAAAAAAATATCATACTGTAGGTTTCAATCTAAATCTTTATTTTAAAAGCAAGAACACAAACGTCTTTAACAAGTTCCACACCAGCTTTTATCTCGCGGTTTTCAATGACTGGATGTCTGTCTTACCTGTCAAAGTTATTGAACCTTTTATGAATGACTTGGCAACAAATGGAACTTAAATGATACAAATATCACTGCCTCCAATTTTATTTCAACCAACCGGTTAAAGCACAGGTTTTGATCAGTTCTATGTTATTTTGCTAACCCAGGGCTACAGTGTATGTACTCCAACATTACAGATGAACAGGAGCCAGGGTTTAAATCTTAGAAAAAAATACCCAAATTAGGACAGTATTTCATATTTCCTGCTCTCGTCTGCCCCATCTCTTATTATTTCACTCATTTCATACATCAGATGTTCATCCAAATTATTATCTGACTCATAAACAATCACAACTATGTTCAGATTGTTTTGTAATCATTTTGCTGAAAATGAAATTAGCTGAGAAACAACTGGCATGAAAAGTAATGCAGTAATCTGGAAATTAATGGCTGCAATGAACCTTATGTTGTTTTGGTGAATCATGGTTTCTGGATTAACACAGTTGCCTCGCAAAATTGATCTGAACGTAGATCCAAAATGTTGAAGCCAATAATTTCACAAGATTATTAGAGATGTTCATAACTATCTTTTTCCAGCTGGCACAGATACTTTCAATACCATCTGGCTCGTTGTTTCCTCCACTTACCCACACACACATACCAGAGATGATAATAATAATCCTTGAATTTGATATAAGCACTCAATCGATTCACTGAAACATCTCAAAACGTTTCACAGGGATTACTGTAAAGCATGGTAACTGTATTGTAGGTGAAAAGGGCAGTCATTTTTTGCATCATATTCTCTCTCTTGGTCACCTGATAGACACACTTGGATATTGCTCTATTTTCTTCCATTGAGTCACATTCCTGTTGATAATCAAGTTATCCTCGCAGCCCTCACTCTGAAATCAGTCCATTTTCATTCAAGCTGATAGAATATATAAACCATTTTTGAGCATAGCCAAGACAGCTCCCAAATACCTCTGAAGGTGAGATAAGGAGAAATCATTTTGAATAAGTGGGTGATGGAGAAGGAAACAACTTTTGGCAATCAGCATGTTCTCAGTGGAATGTGAGCACCTATTAATTTAAACACGCATTTGTAAATGCTTACCAAAGGAAAATAAACCAAATGCTGAAATTTGATGAACTAAAATGGTTCCCTTACCTAAGGACATCAGATTCACGAATCACAAACAGAGTGCCAGAGAGTGAGTTTAGATGCTGTTTTGCATCTCGATCACCCAGGTTCAAATCAAACCAGACAATTGGTGGACAAAAGTGTAATTTCTATTATATCCTGAAAAATATGAGTTTGGGCGTGTCTTAAGTTAGGAGGGGCATTAATGGGGGTGTGTGTGGGGGGGTGGGGGGGGAATGAGTAAATATTTGTGGCACTATTTGACCAGCACAGATAACTGGTGTGGAAATGCCAATGTCCTATTGAAAGTGTTGGAGTAGCACTGTTCTGAGATAGTGTAAAGGGAGTTTGACTTGGCATGTAACCACTGTTAAGCCTGGCTTAGCCCTGCATCTCTGTCACCTTACTCTCATCTTCCCTCCTCCCACAAACCTAACCCTTAAAGATAACTCTTCCCTGTAAGTGAAAGGCTGAGAAAATGGCAAAGCTGGGGGGATGACTAGGACTTGAAGCTGGACGAAAGGGGGAAATCCAAGACAGAGAAGCAAAGCAATACAGAAGCTAATGTTCTCCTCCACACCATCGCGCACTCCACAAACACTGTACCGTTTTGCATTTCTGCAGTCTAAACATTATTCATGAAAATGTATAAAATCCAGTCACTTCACTGTAAACTATATCACCCAATAAAGAATGCAAAGCTCAGTTGTAACAAGGCTGATGTTTTTTTCCTCCCCCCCGGGTTATTCCGGTGTGAATTCGTATTCCTGTCGAGTCTCATTCATTCGTAATGATCCGTTTTAATTTATTTAAAATAAACGTAAATCATCGATTTACTCGAGATCTCAGTCATTACAATAACCACAGGTCCATGAGTTCAAATGGTACAGGATTCTCTCTCTCTCTCTCTCTCACACACACACACACACACACAGAGATGGGAATCTCACTGCACTTCATGTTGGTGATTCCCAAGTGTTGGGATCAGTTCCCACCTTGGGCTGGAAATTGGCTGGAAGTCCAATCACTTGAATCTCAGTAAACACTGCCTCCATCCCACCTACAAAAAAAAAATGATGCTTGGAAGCTGACTGAAATGTATTGCACCTTTTGCAGAATATACACGTAAGCATCGACACATCAAATAACTTAAACGCTGTGTATAAAACATGTCAAAAAAAACACGGTAGCTATTGCCGTTCACCTCTCCTGCTCTCAGTGTCCTGCAGAGAGTGCACAGCCAGGGGCGAAAGGCAGGAACCAGGCACTGCTGATCACCAGCACAACCCAGCCTTCCTTGCCAGCCAGAGACACAGGCACAGCCAGAGAGAAACCGAGAGAGAGAGGGGGGGGGGGGGGGGGGGGACTACACAAGAGAGAGATAGCAAAGGGGGGAGAGAGAGAGAGAAAGAGAGAGATGGCAAAGGGAGAGAGAGATAGTGAGTGAGAGAGAGATACTGGGATAGCAAGGGAAAGAGGCAGGGAGAAAGGGAAAGATAGCAAGGGAGAGAGAGGGAGGGAGAGAGGGAGGGAGTGACACAGGAAGGGAGCGAGGTGGGGAGAGTGAGAGGCAGTGAGGGAGAGTGTGAGAGACTGTGAGAGAGACTGAGAGGCAGTGAGAGAGAGTGTGAGAGGCAGTGAGAGAGTGTGAGAGGCAGTGAGAGAGACTGTGAGAGGCAGTGAGAGAGTGTGTGAGAGGCAGTGAGAGAGACTGTGAGAGGCAGTGAGAGAGTGTGAGAGGCAGTGAGAGAGAGTGTGAGAGAGTGTGAGAGGCAGTGAGAGAGTGTGAGAGGCAATAAGAGAGACTGTGAGAGAGTGTGAGAGGCAGTGAGAGAGTGTGAGAGGCAGTGAGAGAGAGTGTGAGAGGCAGTGAGAGAGTGTGTGAGAGGCAGTGAGAGAGTGTGAGAGGCAGTGAGAGAGTGTGAGAGAGTGTGAGAGGCAGTGAGAGAGTGTGAGAGGCAGTGAGAGAGAGTGTGAGAGAGTGTGAGAGGCAGTGAGAGAGTGTGAGAGGCAGTGAGAGAGAGTGTGAGAGAGTGTGAGAGGCAGTGAGAGAGTGTGAGAGGCAGTGAGAGAGAGTGAGAGAGAGTGTGAGAGGCAGTGAGAGAGTGTGAGAGGCAGTGAGAGAGAGTGTGAGAGGCAGTGAGAGAGTGTGAGAGGCAGTGAGAGAGTGTGAGAGGCAGTGAGAGAGAGTGTGAGAGGCAGTGAGAGAGAGTGTGAGAGGCAGTGAGAGAGAGTGTGAGAGGCAGCGAGAAAGGCAGTGTGAGAGAGAGGCAGCGACGCCCAGACCACTGGCAGGACGTTTCCCGGAGGACCTGGTCAGGCGGGAGAGGAGGAGAGGCGCCGGAGCCGCGATGCCGCGCCTCCCCCCGCAGTGCCGCTCCCGGGACCATGACTGCCCCGCGGGGGTGTAGCGCTGCCCAGCGCCGCGCTGACACTGCTCCTGCCGGAGCCGGCAACAGGTGCCCTGCCCTGCCCTGCCCGCCCTGCCCTGCCCGCCGTGCCCTGCCCTGCCCGCCGTGCCCTGCCCTGCCCTGCCCTGCCCTGCCCGCCCTGCCCGCCTTGCCTTGCCCTGCCCTGCCCGCCCTGCCCTGCCCGCCCGCCCTGCCCGCCTGCCCCGCCTTGCCCTGCCCGCCCGCCCTGCCCGCCTGCCCTGCCCGCCCTGCCCGCCTTGCCCTGCCCTGCCCGCCTTGCCTTGCCCGCCGTGCCCTGCCCTGCCCGCCGTGCCCTGCCCTGCCTGCCCTGCCCGCCCTGCCCTGCCCGCCCTGCCCGCCTTGCCTTGCCCTGTCCTGCCCTGCCCGCCCTGCCCTGCCCGCCTGTGCTGCAGCCACCTGCCACTCCTGCCAGCAACCACTCTGGGGGTGTGGAGGGTGGTGGGGGGGTGTGGAGGGTGGGGGGAGCAAAGGCAGCTGCTCTCTTTACTTTTACACCGCGGCGAGACAGGCAGAGACAGGCAGGACAGGCAGAGACAGGCAAGGACAGGCAGGAGCATCCACCCAGCAGAGCAACAGCCCAAGGAAATCACTCGGAAAACCGGGAACAGTTTTTTTTTTTTTGCAAATCGTCGGGATCTGCTGTTCCTTTTTTTTTCCCCCCTCTCTCTCTTTTTCAAGTGGAGTTTGCGGAGACTTTGCGGAGGGGGTTAGAGTTTGCCGCTAAACCGGGGATTTCTTCAGGGTCGAGTTTGCAAAGTGACCTTTTTTTTTTCCCTTTTCTCCTTTGAACTATTATATCTATATATCTATATATCTATATATATAATACATAAATATAAATATAAATATATATATATATATATATCTCTAAAGATCAGCCCAGTCGGCACCCGGAGTGATGCGGGTGTTGCCGCTGCCGCTGCCGCTGCTGCTGCTGCTGCTCAGTCCGCTGCCCGCGACCCGCACCCACCCGCAGCCCTGCGGCATCCTCAAGCGCATCGGGCACACGGTCAGACTGGGGGCCGTCCTGCTATTGCCCCAACCCCAGCCCCGGGCTCCCGGCCCCGGCCCCGGGGTGGGGGGGGTGGAGGGGGTGGGGGTGGGGGAGGGCAGCGCTCAGCCCCTCGGTGCCCGGGAGGCTCTCCTGCGCGCCGCCCGGCACCTGAACGGGAAGGGCGGGCTCCTGCCTTACAACCTGTCGGTGGAGCTGGTGATGGGGATGGAGGTGGGGCTCGGGGAGCTGCCGCTCTTCAGCTCCTCGCCTCTGGCCCGGAGGGACCCCCAGTCGTTTCTGGAGAGCGTGTGTCACACGGTGGTCGTGCAGGGGGTCGCCGCCATCCTCGCCTTCCCGCTCAGCACAGGGAAGTGCAGCTCGAGTTCCTGTCGTCCACCATCCGGATCCCCGTCGTCAGCCTCGTCCAAGAGGAGTATCCCAGGAATTCCAAGGTAAGGAAGGAGCCCCTCCCTCCCGCCCCGGGATTCTCCCCCCGCGAGACACCTCCAGCACAAGGGAAATGATCGCGAAAATAAGCTGTGAATATACATATAGATATATATATATAAAGTTATGTATAGTGTATGTATATAGATATATATATATAACGGTGTACAGTTGTGTTGTAGGTGTTAATAGAAAATAAATATCTAATTCAGTCGTTAAGGTGTACATACACACACTGATCTTTTATCTGTAAACACTTCCACAGCGCAACTGTACACCGCTATTTATGTGTATATATGTGTGTGTGTGTGTGTGTGTGAGTGGATATATATATATTGGTTTTGATGAAGTTCGAGATTGTTAAAGTCTATGTCACAGCCGAACAGGGAAACAAACCGCACTCTGTGAAGTTACGGCGTTGTTTTATATTAAAAAAAAGTTTATCATCAAAATCGCCTTCTCCTACACCCGGAGTTACGCAGCAGATGATTTTAATGTGTCAGCCTGAGGGGGGGGGGGGGGGGGGAGGGGGGGATCGCTCACTTTAACTCTATCAGATTAAGTGCCACTCGCTCTCGTCTCTCGGCGATGGTGAAGGGGGGAATGGATCGCCTTTACATCGGAAAGTATTCGCGCGAACTCCCGGAGCAGAATCCGAGACACTTTGATTCCCCCAAAACAAATGCTTAATCGCTCACCCGAAGGGACTGACTGATACCAACATGGTTTATAGCTTAGAAATAGGTCCAGGACTCTGGGGGTGGGGGTCGGGGGTGTGCACTGTGGCGTATTTTAAATAGTTCTGACTATGGCAACTCTGTAAGTGAGGAATGTGGGGCTTTGTGATTAGGAAGTGTTCAGCGGAGTCGTTTGGGTGGAAATAACTGGAAGGACAGTAAGGTGTGAAATGAGAGAGTTCATATTGTTTTGGGGAGTGACAGATGTTTCCGCGAACTACACTGAACAGGTGGGGGGGGGGGGGGGAGACTGGGGGGGGAGGGAGGGACTGGGGGAGGGGGGGTGACTGGGGGAGTGGGGGGGGGACTGGGGGAGTGGGGGAGTGGGGGACTGGGGGAGGGGGGGCTGGGGGTGGGGGGAGAGGGGGGACTGGGGGGTGGGGGTGGGGGACTGGGGGAGGGGGGGCGGGGGAGGGGGGGGGAGGGGGGGACTGGGGGAGGGGGGGGACTGGGGGGGGGGTGGGGAGGGGGGGACTGGGGGAGTGGGGGGGGAGGGGACTGGGGGAGGGGGGCTGGGGGAGTGGGGGAGGGGGGGACTGGGGGGGGGACTGGGGAGTGGGGGGAGGGAGGGGACTGGGGGGGGGGGGGGGAGTGGGGGAGGGGACGAGCACCAATATTTCCAAATGGCAATGATTTCGTGCGACTCTTTCATTGAAAGGACTAAAGCAGAAACCCGCGGTCGGTGTTTCCCACGAGGCACTCGATCGCGATTCTCCCACTTGCTCGGGGATGGACACCAGAGGAGGGGATCCTGAGGGAAGGGGGTGTTTCTGGGGTTTGGTGCAGCACAGCACAGCACAGCACAGGGCATCGCAGGGTGTCGGTGTCGGGCTGCCTCGGGATAAAGTGTAACAACCCACTGGTTTGTAGCAGAGAAGGAAAAGTTTGTGGTCGTCCGGACAGTTAGTTGCAAAGTAAAGCGATCCCTAATCTCGCAGTGGAGGTCCTGATTGACATCTCACCATCCACTCACTGCCATGAACAGTGGGACCTGTGATTACAGATTTATTAAGAGATCAGACGTTTTGCCTTTGCAAAAAAAAAAGTCTTTGCTCGTCTTGATATACGATTAATCTCCTCCTCACCTTACACCTCGTAGATATTATCCCCCAACCTCCTCCCCCCCCCACCCCCACCCCCCCACACACACATTGCTTCACCGCAAGACCACACCAGCATTCACTTGATTTGGCAAACTAAGAGAAGAAAAGACTAAAACGTACGATCGTTATTATTCGCAGTCAAACAGGGAATTTTAGATCGCTTTGGGGCAGAAACACGTCGGCTCAGACCCTGTTTGCCACCGTTCTTGATTCATGTCATCAACGTCCACGTCGAAGCACTGAGTATTTCCCTCATCTCGGGGGCAAAATCCCCTTTGGGGGCATTCAAGGCGAAATGTTGGGCAAATGTCCTGACTCCCCAAGCCTCTGTTTATCCAGCAGTAAGTAGGAACCGGGTTGTTAATCAATTGGAGGATCACTTTTCCTTGGGTAATAATTATTTTAAAAATATGAATTGGTCACTTCAATCCAGGACCGTTTGCGGGACACCGCTGTGCGCAATTGGCTCCTGCGTTTCCCCCACCAATACATACAGTCAATTCACTTCACATCATATTCTGTGAAGCGCTTTGAGACGTCTCGAAGACGCGATAAGGCGCGATATCAAATTCAAGGATTATTATTGCTGCTATTCGTGCCACACTGCAAAATAAATATCACCATGTCAAACTGGAGAGCAGTTTTACCTGCAGTTAAATAGAAAACACATTCATATGATCTACACGTAGCTTTGTGTGAAAAAGAGAGAAACAAGTCGGAGGACCCTGTGGGGTAACATGTTGAACAATATTAAGGGGAAGGTCGTGCATTTTTTGATAAAGTGGTTGAGAAGTGTCAGATGCAACTTCTGTTCCGCAAATCAAATGGAGGACCAATTTGCTGAACACTGTAAGAGTTAAGATACAAACCTACAGGCTTCACACTTTGCCGAGTGGTTGGTGCTGGAGATAGTCAATGTGTGGCTTAAAAGAGAATAGTTCTATTATTTCAATTCCAGGCTGTGTGATGGTAGGATCAGGTCTCAGCACATCTTTCAATCTGCTGGATTCTCAGTGACCAGGTGAGGGGGTTTTGCACCGGCAAAGCAAATAGGCTTCCGATTTCCTAAAGTTACTTGTGCATAAATCCCGAAATGCCGTTTTTACGCATCGATTGAGAAAAGTAAGAGCTGCAGTCTGTCTGTCTGTCTGTCTGTCTGTCTGTCTGTCTGTCTGTCTGTCTGTCTGTCTGTCTGTCTGTCTGTCTGTCTGTCTGTCTGTCTGTCTGTCTGTCTGTCTGTCTGTCTGTCTGTCTGTCTGTCTGTCTGTCTGTCTGTCTGTCTGTCTGTCTGTCTGTCTGTCTGTCTGTCTGTCTGTCTGTCTGTCTGTCTGTCTGTCTGTCTGGTCTGTCTGTCTGTCTGTCTGTCTGTCTGTCTGTCTGTCTGTCTGTCTGTCTGTCTGTCTGTCTGTCTGTCTGTCTGTCTGTCTGTCTGTCTGTCTGTCTGTCTGCTCCACTTCTTCAGATGGTGCAGACTGATCAGGTCAGTGAGTTCCCAGCCCCATCTGATCCACATCGGTCGCCAGCACTTAAGGGGACATCGGACTAAAAATGACTCTTGGAGGAAACCTACCGCTCCCAGGAAGATATAATCCCTCCACGAAAAGCTGTCCCGATCGAGTGGGGATTCTGGTTGGGAAATTGACTTGGTCTCACCGAGCGGTGCGCAGATTCACACCTATATTCAGTATTTAGTGACCATTGTGGGCAAAGGCAACTCAGTGCAATACATTACCTTACAGACCCCTTTGCACTGACAGACAGACACGCCAGGGATGTGCAGGCACTGTCTGTGCCCATGTTGGCTCCTCTTTCAAGATCCCTTATCGAACTCTTTCTATTGAATATATAGCAAATATTTTACTCTGTGCCGTTTACCAAAATGCTGATTTGATGAAGAAATAGAGTCGTTAATGTTGCTTTTTTTAAAGAAAAGCTTTTGATAGAAACTGCATTGTAAAGAAGTGTGTGTGTGTGTGTGGGGGGGGGGGGGGGGTGGGGTGGGGGGAAGGGGGGGGGGACCTCTCTTTGAAGTGCAATTGTTACAATATGTGTGTGTGCTGTTTGGGGTTCACTTGATGTGAATACATTGGCATTTGAGTGTGGAGCAATCTGGGCACAGTCACAGGCAGATGCCATTCTGTCTCCTCACCAGTACATCTCCAGTGAGAGGTAAACTTGCAGTTTCTCGACATCATGACATTATTGATCACAAGGTTTCTGAGGATTCACATTGAACGAGCATCCAATGTTCTCTGGCATGCCAGAGATTTAATCGCCTTCGCAGACTCTTGCTTCCTATTTATTTGTGGCACAGAGTGGGCAGCATTACTTTAGGTGGGATTCATTATCGCAGTCAGATTTCGCACACAGACAATAAGGCTGTTGAGCAAAGTGTTCTCCGAGTGATTTCATGCGGAATATTTTCCCTCTCAGTTCCTGTAATTGTCATTTGGTTCGAGTTACAAACAGGTTTGGAGCGCCATCTAATGGGAAGCCTCGATGCTTCTCTGATTCAACCAGGAACTGACTACAGGGTGACCAAAAAGTTGTGATACCTACTCGATTATCTCCAAAAAAAAAATCATTTCTTTAAGATTTATTAGACATTGCAATGGTATCACGACTTTTGGTCACCCTGTAAAACCACGACCTATCAAATGTATCAAGAAATTGGTTGTTTAACCTTGCAAAACCCTCTGTATACTGCAGTTAACGTGCTATCTTTGCTTTGCATCAACACTGTTGCTGTATTACAATATATTTTGTGAGGATGTTGTACCAATGCAATCCTAAATATTCATATAATTTCTGTTATCTATACTGTATGTATACAGTATATATGTTTAAAAATACCAGGCAACAAGTAGCTAAGTATTCAATTCAGATGATGAGACATTGTTACAGTAACAGTGACACTGCAGTTTATAAACTGAAATGTAGTCAGTCCTATATTCTTAACAGATATTTGTTACCCATCCCTCACATCCACCTAGATATCATACATTTTTTTTAAGTATCCATGACGTGTTATCAGTCATATTTGCTCAAATCTACACCTAGACTTTTAAATCTCCAAATTGTGTCAATGATAATAATCCTTAAATTTGGTTTAGTGCTTTTCACATTAATAGAACATCCCAATGCGCTTCATAATACCAACTCCAG